GCACTCTGCTCTCCTCCCCACTGAGAGCTGGTGTGTGGGGAGTGGACTGGTGCACTCTGCTCTCCTCCCCACTGAGAGCTGGTGTGTGGGGAGTGTACTGGAGCATCATCCAGGTCAGGCTGCACACTGGTGGTGGTGGAGGGGATCCCCATTACCTGTAAAGAGCTTTGAGTGGAGTGTGCAGAAAAGTGCTGTGTACAGTACATGTAAAGGCATTAATCGTTATTACGTTTATTAGAAGGAGAACATTTGAAAAAAAGAGTAATAAATGATTGTTTGTATTTAGATGTGTAGGACATGAGAAAAGGCACAAACGAGAGGAGCCCCTTGGAAGGTCCTGCTCTCTGGTTGTGTCCCCCTGCGCTGTGGGAATGTGGGTCTGGACACCCGGTCCTGGGGCGTAGCCGATACTTTCAAGACACGGCTGGATGGGATCCTGGGATCAGTTAGCTACTAAAATACAGAGAAGCTGCATGAGATGAAATGGAGTCCTTTGTATCTTTTCTTACAGTACTGTATGTCCTGCACGCCCACAACTACATGTGAAGGAACAGGTGTAAAGGTTTATTCCCTGCTGAAAAGAGAAAAAAAGAGACACAGCGTTGTGACCCTGACCCAGTGACCCTGTGGATAAGAGGTAACTAAGAGAGGTGTTTCATTTCTTCTCTTTTCAGCAGGAATAAAGCTTTGCTTGTTCCTTTGCAGCCTACGCCTGCTGACAAAACTCCCCTACGTCAACTACTACAGCTACCTGTTGTACATAAACTGTATGTAGCTAAGAGAAGATCACTTTATTGGCCATATACAATTTCTTGCATGAGGAATTTGTCTTTTTCGCATACCCCAGCTTGCTCTCCATGAGACACGCAGCCACACAGATGGGGAGAAAGAGGCTTGGGGTCAGAGTCCTTCTTGGATGGTGTGTTATGCGGGCGATGGGAGGGCATATGTTTAAGTCGTCGCCTTAATTCTTACTATAATACAATAGTTCAAACCGCAGGGGCCAGGGGCCTACTGTATACAGTATAGACTCCTGGACTCGAAAGCACTGAGACACTTCACACATTTTCACAACGGCCAATAAAAGGACGCGAATCGACGTTCCGAAGTAGTATACTCTCCTTCAATCCTGACCAGGTAGAGGAAAGTTAAATTAAGCACAGAGTGCTGTCTGTGGTACTGAAATTTCTGAAATTTCTGCGGGTCTCGGAGTTTGCAGCTCTCCCGGGAAGGAGTGGAGCTCCCCAAAATGAAAAAAAAAGTGTTTTTTATGTACTGTACGAGTCGACATTTTTATAACGGCAGCGTGCAGAGAACAGCACGTTTCTCCTTCTTTCTGCATCTCATGAAAAGACGTCTCCTCTCTCTTTTTTTTTTTACAAACCAGCATCACTAATTGGTGACTGGGGCTCTTTTGCTGGTCTCCCCGTTAAAATTCAAGGGGCGTTCCCCCTGTCGCTGCGCGCTCCCCTTCTGCATCTTTTCAATCGTTAACAACAACAACAACAACAACAAACAACAAAAAAAGAAAGAAAAAACAACAAGTAGTTTTGCCTCTCAGCGAGAGAAAAGAAGAAGAAGAAGAAGCGTCGAAGAAGCGTCGAAGAAGAAGCTTTCCCCTCCATGTCTGAGACGACAACACATCGTGACGCCCGCTATTGAATTCCAGCATTGTAAACAAAATGTCCGGAACACAGGCCATTTCTGAAGGCTGAATCGGAGCGGATAGGGTCTTTAACACCAGAGCATCCCCTGCGCTCGCAGCAATGCCGTGGTCAGTGTGTGCGAAGGGTCCTTTAAAAGAGCTATTGTTGGGCGTTGCTAAGTACTCCTTAGCAACGACGAGGCCAAGCTTTCCTTCGACCGTATGAAAAAGACGCGTTTTTTTTTTTCCAAACGAGTACCCTCTTGTTCCTGTAATTAATAATCATAACATCTAACAGGGGGAAACGAAGCCCTTCTCTCTCAGACAAGATTCGCTGTGAACCTATTTCGTGATTTACGCCATCACCGACCCCAAGCGTCTGACACCGGACTGACATTTAAACAGACACTTCGATGTTTTAAACACTAAAAGCTCACACTTCAGGCCAGCTTCAGACGAGCAGTCAGTGCACCATAAGCCCAACCGAGATAAAAAACAAAACAAAACAGGAGAAAAAAATAAGAGTCGAATACAGCTTTTAAACGAGGCTTCAATGTAGCAACTTTCTTGTTGAGTTTTATGGAGGATGAAAGAACATAATTCACTTCGGTTTTATTATTAGTCGTAGTTGTTGTAGTAGATGTAGCAGCATCAGTAACAGAAGAAGTAACAGTAGGAGTGGTTGCAATAGTAGTATTCTATGGGATGTCAAAAGCAGAAGTCTGTATAAAGGCAAGATAAATACAAACACTAAAAGACACCAGCAGATATATATATATATGAACAGTTTATCATTTCTATAAAAAAAACACAAATTCTACTTAATGGATGAGGGCAGAAGTCTACATGATGATTTAATGTACTGTATGCACTGGCTTGTGTCACCACAATTAAGTAACTTTTCTTTGTGTGGGCTGTGTGAAACGTCACACGGACAACTCGCTGGTCTAGGGGCCGATAGAAACAGACCTCAGTCTTCTTTACTTACAGTACATCACGTTGAAGGTTGATAAATATCACCTGTGCTTGTTGCTTCAGATTAAAAACAATCTAATGAATCAGATTCAGCTTCCTGGAGACACAGAATATTATTTTGCCTGGCCGAATCAGCTTGGTGTCTTCATTAAGGGCCTGGCGGGGACGGGATTACTGCCCCTCTCTTTCCTCGGTCGCATGTGAAAGGCCCAGAGAAGCAGGAAGCCAGCGAAACGAGGGCAGAAAGGAGTTTGCAGAAACGCTTAGCTGTCTCCTCACAGCCCTCCTCCTCCGTGGGCCCCTCTTGGTTACCGCCTGGTAAACCTGCGAGAGGAATGTGAGTTCATAGTCGTGTGCTGATTGTCATTATGGCCACCAAATTGCACGGCAGCTCATTAATCATAGACTAGGATAGGCAATCACTAGAGGAAGAAGAAAAAAGACGACTGAATTCAATAGAACCCAGGGAATAAAGCCTGGTAAATCATGTTTAACATGCAAACCTTGCCTGCAGAGATAGGAGTAATGAACAAAAATTATCGGCCTCTTTTAAAAAAAAAGAAAACTTCTACTTATCTCTGATTTGCATTCAGCTCCCCTGAATGGTGCTTAAGCCTGTTATTTCATTCATTTGGTGCAGGGCCTCTCACAATGCCAAGTCTAACCAGAGACCTCTACAGTGTGTGACCCCCCAAAACCAGTCTTTTTAAGGCAATTCCACGTCACTTGTGTGTTTGAACCCCACTACATTTCAATGCTGGTGCCTCCTCAGACAAGCGCATTCTCTTGGAATGAAAGGGGCTGCCTCGGGCCATTCAAACGCAAAATGGCAGAAGGAGATGACTGGTGAATCAATTTCCACAGCCCACCCAAACCCACGATAGCCTTTTTCTTTTTCTTTACGGAAGAAAAAAAATGTATCTCTCTTTTTTGTTTGTTCCGGTTTGTTTGTTTTTTAATGGTTTGTTTTTAAGGCAAGAGATTGGGCTTTCCTCAAAATGCAACGTGATGAATCCACAGAGACCCATTTCTGATGACGAATTGACTCGTTTAGCGGACGGCGTGTCTGTTTCCAGTTACAAATGTGTCATTCACCCAGGTTCGAATGCTCTTTGTCATGTTTCCTCCTCAGCATTTCAACACACTTACAGTATCCCTACTGCTTCTGCAATTGACTTCAACGTCATTCAAAGCTGTTTTAATTAGCAGTGGGCTTAATTTCGAGGGCAAGGTGAGCCACCTGGCCTCTTTGAGGCAGGACTGGAGACAGGACACGCCTCACATTCCCTCTAGACTGAAATTCACGTGGAAACTAAGCAGACCTAGACTGCCGGCTTATGCTCTTATTGTCAACCAGGGATACAGGTCAGGACAGCTGAGCCTCCCTTCTGACTTCTTGCAAAGAGTTCAGGCAGATTAGGGAGATTAATGATTTAAACGGGGGGCCAGCAACAATTTTTAAAAACGGGTTTTTGCACAGTGAGAGCAAGGAAATTGTGAAATAGTGCAAATACAAAATATTCAAGAAGCCGTTATATTTTAGTGTTTATATTGCAATAGTACCTACAGTAATGATAGTTAAGCAGCATCTCCCGTGCAGCACATCATTATTCCCGAGGAATGACAACGCCCCAAAATCGGAGCATAACGAACTATTGTGGGGCGAATATTTGGCTTAACCCTCCGGGCCGTAGGACGAGGAGGCCAGGACCCCCGCTCAAGGTGACCAAGGGGCAGCTGCAGAGGTGGAGCTGGGGTGGAGGTGCGATACAGAAGTCGCACGCGAGGGAGGGAGAGATCGCGTCTGGTATTTATAGCGTTCG